AGGATAAAGTGGTCTATCATTCTACAAAAAAGGGGAAATATTATATTTATATCAATTATTGATATATTTTCTTGTAAACATTAAATTTACCTCATTTACAAGTGCTTCTTCGAGTTTAAGCATACTATATATAGATTCTCCAGTAGCTCTACCAGAAATTGTATGCTTATTCTGCAAATCTGGTGTAGAACTAAGAATAAAGAAGTATTGGGAACTATTGTCATCTTTCTAGCATTAACCATAGCAATTAAATCTCGTCGACAAAAACGTAATCGTGTATGAAATTCGTCCTAAAACATATATATCCAATAATTATTTTTCGATAAAAAAGGAATTCATTTTATTTTTAAATATAGTCTCACTTTTAATGGTTCTCCATATATTTTACCACCTTCTCCTGTACCCGTGGGATCACCACCTTGTGTTATGAATCCTTTCATAATTTTATGAAATATAGTGTCATCCTAATAACCTTTCATACATAATTGTATGAAATTTCTGCCCTTGGAGTTTCTTTTACATATTTTCATAATTCTAGCTCAATATGACCAACAGTTGTTTTCATTATATCCTAGTTATAACAAAGATATTAATTTGATTAATGTAAAATACTTTTAAAATCAAATTTCTTAAAATTTGTTATTTATTATTGTAATTCAAATTAGAAATTACTGAATATATTAATATAGAAATTTAGAAAGTAAATATTGTATATCGGTTAAATTTTAAAAAACAGATATACAATCCATTGAAATATTATTAACTAATACCTATTACTTTACTCTTGGTGGCTAGCTCTTGCATATAAATATTACTCATGTTTGTATGTCTCCTGTAATAAAAAAAAAACCTTCGTCAATATTATTTCATACTAAATCTTTAGTCATTTATAAATCAGTCGTACAAATTGTTTTTTTCTTGAATAACCATCAACAAGTGAGGCATACCTTTCACCTCCTTTTGATGTTGACTTTCTTGGCTCAATCAATTCCATGTGCCACAGCCCATTTATTCCTGCTACTTTTATAGTTTCCAAGTCCCTCTAAATATTTCTACAAATTTGTGCCTTAATGGAACAATTACACTCTATATTCAATATATATTTAACTTTTACAACCATTACCAAGTGTTCATTCTCCATCTCTTCAATGATCCTTATATTAGCATGTTCATGCCTCATATCCTTCTCTGTTGATACATATGCTGGCCCTTTCCTGTTTCTTTATTCGACATAATATGCGTTTCCTCTTCTGACACCTTTCATTCGAACCACTAAATTAATTTCATTCCTTTTTGTGTGCCAAGCCATCCTCCATTTTCTGTATCTTTATTTGACCATCAAGGATTTCTATCTTGTATGTTATATCGTTAGCTGACCTAAAATCCAATAGACATATCATAACATATTTGTATTGCTGCTTCAATTTTTCTCGCTATAAAATATAATTCTTGGCATCTAATGGCTCTACGCTGGTGATATTCCATGAGTCCAATATTTTTCTACCGTTGCGTGTACCTTTTTATTTCAACAGAATATTCATTTCTCAACCAAGCTCTGCTATCACTAATAAAAGGTGGAAAAACAATGGCTCATAACTTAGGCTATTGAATTACAACTAAAGGTTATGTTAATACAAATACTTACATACTTTTCGTGATGCAGGCACAACTGCATGGACACAACAATACTTCCGGCGTTTGTTTGCCATTTTTTCTCATTCCCTATGCATTTTCCTTTTCACTTGGCGAAAAATTAAGAAATCACTCAATTTCTGTGATGAATTTATGAAATTCTATAACTGCGTAGTGATGGCGTACCTTTGCACATTTGTCGTCTGTCAGATAAAGAAATGAGTGCTGATTGTCTAATTAAAACCGCTGTTTCGGCAGAATTTATTAAAGAATGTAGCAAACTTTATGATTTTATTTATTAAAATAAATTAAGATATATTAGGTGCACGTAACCAGAGTTAGTAAACTATTTGCGAAACTATTCCAAAGTCATAGGTGGCGCTGATCGCAGGCGGTAAAATTTGTATTCGAACTGGATACTAGAAATCAATTCGACAGTAAAAAATTAATAAATTGCCAAGTTTTTGTAATTAATTCATGAAAATTTATAGCTGCACAGCAAAGTTGGAATTATAGGCAACATTCTTATAGGATGTTTAATTTAATAATTAATACTTACATGAGCGATAGGTATTGTATTTCCTGTAGTAAACAAGATTGCTATAGAAAAGTATTTTTCTTACATAATATTATTATTTTGTAATAAATATAAACTAGCATAAGGAAGCGTAAAGAATAAATTTTTTTATAAAGAAATTTTATTTACAATTTTTTCATAGACGAAAAATGAACACAACAGCAAGAATAGTTTAAAAAACTACCAACTATGGGACGAGAATCGAACCACGGTCCATTACCACAGGAATATTCATCTATTGTTTTTAAGCCACGACTGCACTCGTAAAATGATGGAAATAAATCTGTAATTACGAAAGTAATGAAACTTTAATCGTAAATATCTCAAAAACTATTGAGTAGTTGCGGCTATAATGATATATTTTCTTAAACTGCATTATGAAATCTATATACCTGTAAAATTTCAACTAAATCGATGGTCCGAAGGACTTGCACTCTCCTTGTAGAATGAAGTAATGGGCGAGAAGTAAAAACGTGAAAAGATACATTCTCGTTTTAAAAGTTAGGTGGGTATTTGTGTTCAGCATAGTAAACTGTGCAGGGAACACTTAATGGATATTGCAGGTTGGAGAAAAAGTTAAAATTTGTTGGACATTGTTACCTATAATGCTATCCGCGCCTGTATGCCTGCAAAACGGCAGACAAGAGTGCACCGCGGATTACATACGCTCTCTCGTATAAAAGCGAGCGTTGCCTATTTCTTTCCGTTGTTTCGTTCCTTCTTCCACGACTGTCTAACGTTCTTGTTCGTGATTGATTTTGATTATTGATCAGTCGCATGGTGATTGGAAGACGCATGGAGATACCTCTTCAAGCAGGATCGATTCGATCCACGTTTCTCTTTTACTTATTCTGTGCGTTATGGTTTACTGGGACCGTCATCGACGGTATAAGTGCAGCAAGTAAGTGACGTTTTTTGTTCAAGCTTTATTTCCTTTGGTAACGTTTCGTTAAATCAATGATCGTTTCGTATACGAACCCGGACGTATTTAAAAATGAATGCATATACGAATGAAAAAGTCGGAAACGCGTACTTGGATGATCGATCGAGCGAAGGAAACGTCTCGTTTCGTTCGTAAACGGAAGCAATGCTGACCGATAGACTTATCTATTCTTGACATCCTCCGCGTGTTATCGCTGATTGCTTTTTCTGTCATTGCTAGATTTCGCGGGGGATATTTTTCGAAGCCAGAAACATAACGAGCCAGCCAACTTGCGTCTCGAGAAAGATGCTTCGACTGGAACGGTACGAAGCAATGATCTATAATACGCTGTCATTTTTGAACGACAGAGAGAGAGAGAGAGAGAAAGAGAGAGTTCTTGTTTAGGTCCCATCGATGCTTCCAACGTGTACCGGGCCATACGGCAAAGCGGGTCATTGCGAGTACTTGAAACGATGTTTTTCCCAGGACTATGCTTCGAATTTTACCATGGCTATGGATCACTCGTGCACCATCGAACGAACGTGAGAATTCAATTTTCTCGATAAAAAAAAAAAATCTGAAAGTAGGTCGAACTGAGTGGAACGAAACGATAATAGGTATTTAGGAATTTGTTGCGTGAAACATTGGAACGGATTGCGCAGAAAATCTACGACCCAAGAGAGTTTCGCTGAGATTCTACCGCTAATTGCTGGTACGTAACGATCGACCGAGCGAAGAAGAAACTAGCCAACTCGCTGGTACGTACGTAAGTACGTTTCATGCTTAGTTTCAGCTCACGACGATGAAGGTCATGACGAGGCAGGGACGTACGATAAAGGGAGTAGAATCGTTTGGTCGGAAAAGGAGAGGACGTCGACGTCTCGACCTCGAATTCCGGAAGCATCGAGAGGATGCGGGACAACGTGGAAAAGTCGAAGCAGATTGGTAGGTGGCAGACCGGCCGATCCCAAAGAATGGCCTTGGATGGCGGCTCTCCTCAAGGAAGACCAAACTCAGTACTGCGGCGGAGTCCTCGTCACCGATAGACACGTTTTGACAGCTGCCCATTGCGTGAACAGGTAACAGCTCGGTGGTTGTAAACTTCGCGCTAACCCAGCTATCGATTCGCTTTCCTTTTGCCGATCAGCTACAAACCTTGGGACATCAAAGTCAGGCTCGGCGAATACGATTTCACGACCGCGGAGGAGACGAGGGCTTTGGACTTTGCTGTTACCGAGATACGTGTGCATCGAGATTTTGATTATACCACGAACGAGAACGACATAGCGATGATCAAGTTACATCGACCAACGGTATTCGACAGTTACATTTGGCCCGTGTGCTTACCACCGGTGGATCAAACCTTTGAGAACAAGAGCGCGGTGGTAACGGGTTGGTAACTGTTCGATGATATTATCTTTTCGTAATTTTTCTTTGTTTTTCAAATAAACATCAAATTCGACGATGCACGAGCTTTCAGGTTGGGGTACTCGGTACTACAAAGGTCCTGCTAGTACAGTTTTGATGGAAGTCGGAGTTCCGGTATGGCCGCAAAAGAAGTGCGCGAAAAGTTTCGTTCAACGAATTCCCAATACGACTATTTGCGCCGGTGCTTACGAAGGTGGACGCGATGCTTGTCAGGTAAAAAAGCACGATAAACAAAATCGTGCGAAACAAGGCTAATTAGGCGAAATGATACACAGGGTGACTCGGGTGGACCGCTGCTGCACCAGCTCGGGAACGGTAGATGGGTGAACATCGGAATAGTGTCTTGGGGAATTCGGTGTGGAGAAGCGAAACGTCCTGGAATATACACGAGAGTGAATTCCTATCTCGATTGGATATTCGAAAACGCTGTATTCTAGATTCCCGTTGTATAATCGATCACGTTTAAATCGAGCATAGAGAAGCATGAAACGCTGACGGAAAATAAATTGACTGTCGTGCGTGGAAACGAAGAAACTTTATTTTTCCGAATATCGGCTGTTACATCGTTGAAAAAGAGATTGACACGAATAGAGAGAAATTCGATACTTAGGACACGTGGCGCTCGTCACGCTAGACCAGAATTTTCATACTTTCTTTTATCGCGTGGGCGCGCATACGAACAAGCAATGCACGCATACGGCACTGTGCGCTCGGGTTCCGCACAGCGAATGAACGTCCGAAGATTCCTCGACTGAATCTCGATAGTTGGACGACTTACTTTCGGACGAGGTCCAGCCTCTCTTTTCCTTTGTTATTTACGTCGATATTTAACCTCGAAGTTCTCTTTGAAAGACCTTGAAAAGACACGCGCGCCCTTGTGTGTCGCATCCAAGACGAGCCACCTTTTTTATTTTCCACATTTTGCGACGATACGAAAAATGCTAGCAACATAATTTAAATGGTATCAAAGGACGAATGTCTGATAAAGTCAATGTCTTCGTTTCGTTGTAATTTTCTTGGACTTTTTAAATCAGGGATGGCTCTCGTACGTAAATGTATTTATATAGAAGACAAGTAGGTGGCCTCTTTTAAGCTGAACACTCTGCAGATGTACATGTACGTATATACATATATGATCAATTTCGGCAAACAGAATCGTATGCGCGCGAAATCTGCACTCACGCGAATACGTAACGTTTTTCTCTTCTCTTTCTTCCTCTTCCTTCGTGTTTCGCTTCGATCGCACGTCTCCTCCAAAGTTTTATTCGAGCGCGTGATTTGTGTCGGGGCGTGTTTCGATGGAATCGACGAAAATCAATAACGCGGTACGACGAGAGAAATGCGAAAGACAGACAAATACTATTTTCGAAATCACTAACCATCCAGACCACTCCCCTCCGTCGTTACCGTTCTCTTTCCGCTTGTCGCGATCGATTCTCGCGCACGCGCAAAAAATAATTTCTTCTACAATACGATGAAGTTTTTTGGATTTTAACGATTTCTCTATTGAAAGCGCTAGTCCTTGAGAAGTGTCGATGACACCTGCCGAAATACGAAACAGATATCCGAAAAGAGGGAGAAGAGAGCGATAGAGGGGGGCGGCGGAAAAGGGAGAGAGAATGAGAAAGAGAGAAGCAGGAAGGGAGGGAAAGATAGACCGTGACATAAAGGAATGAGTGACGAAAGCACTAATCACAACGAAGAAGTAACAGTCTCTCTCTTTTCCCACCGAGATGTATGCCAGCCCCTTCTCTCCTCGATACAATAAATAACGATCGTGTTCCCGTAATGTTTATTTTTACTTCGAAAGGCATACTTTCGAACATGTGGACCCAAATTTCGATCGGAGACGCCGATCGGAAGTTGCTTGGCTGCTACTCTACGCGAAACGATGGTACACGTGTTACGGATGAGGTCGATTTATCGACGGAAGATCGGAAAGTGTCGGGTGATACAAGAGTCGAGAGAAATGGAACTAGACTCGCGAAGGGGGTGTCGTGGGTACCAGAAGCGGTGCGTTTGGACCGCTTTCCGTGTGATTCGGCACATTTTCGCCGGCTTGATAGGAACGTCGACCTTGGGAAATGACGTTGGTCGACAGCGTCGACCCGATAGACGACCGATTTCGGGATGGCGAACCGTTGCCTATCGTACGACCGTGACTAGCTACGCCGTTTCCGGTTGCAAACACGCCCCCGCCGTTGTTTCCAACACTATTATTGTTATTCCAACCTCCACTGCCACCACCTCCACCACCACCTCTATCTCCATCTCCACCGCCATCGCCACCACTATCGCAATTTTCATTACCAATATCGCGACTGCCTTCGCAATCACTTTTATCTTTGCTATCTACTTTCCGATTTTGCATCGAAGCATCGCGTTGACTCGTAACCTGTTGTCGAAACTGACCCTTTTGCTGATTCGTTTGTGATCGTTGCTGTTCTTGGCGCCCTTTCTGAACGACTCGATGATTTTGGTCCTGGCAATTCTGTTGCGTCGACAAATAGGATCGTACATCTTGCACCTTTGTTTGATCCGGTCGATGCTGCGCTACGACATTTGGATGATCGACACACGATCGTGATTGATCGATTGTTGTGGCCAAAATTTGATTGCTCGGCGTTGCAATCGTTGTCATGGCTGTTGCCGTCATCGTCGTCGTCGTTATTATCGTCGTGGTTGCCGCCGTTATCGTTGTCACAGGTATCAACGTTGACGACGAAGCATTTGCTTGTTGAACGTTGTTATCGATAGACTTTTCACCGATCAACCAGTACGTGGTCATGGTGCCTTTACCCTGAAAACGAAAGGGATCGAAACGCTAAGTTTTTCTCCGATTTCGGCACGAAATCAAGAGTCTCACCTTTAAGGTAACCTCGCCTCTACAAACGAGTTCAAATGTCCCGAAAGTGTCCAAGATTTCTTTCGTTTTCGGGCTAACGTGAATCTTCAATGCTGTAAGCAGAAGAAAAACATATTCGAGATAGTAAGAAGCGATATTAGAAATAAGGAACAACTGTCCGATTACCTTCTCCGTTACTCTCCATCCTAGACGCGGTGTTGACAGTGTCTCCGAACAAGCAATATCTAGGCATCTTTAGACCAACTACACCAGCCACGCAAGGTCCTGAAATCACGATTAATCTGTTAAATAATTATTTACGTAGGTTCAGCGTGTGATTTACGACGACATAGGAGCACGAGAGCGGACAGAATGAACAAGGGTTACGCGACATATCGATGAAGGAAAAGGTCGATGTTAAAGCAGAAAGAGAATTTCATATTCGACGAAACGAAAAGGAACAAAGGAGAAATGTGCTGATGTTATATTCCATTTTACCGGAATGCATTCCAATTCGAAGCTTTAGTTGTTCTGTTGGTCTGTGACGTATACTAAAGGTCATCACGGTATCTCTTAACGCTAAGCTCATCCTCGCAATTTCTCTGGCATGGTTCGTTCCATTTCTCACTGGTAATCCTGACACTACCATATACGCGTCGCCTATCGTCTCCACCTAGAAAAGAATATCGCGCTATATCTTGTCCCATGATCGAATACAATGGTATGCGCGCGCGCGTATCAATTCAGATGAAATATTCCTTTGCCGAGTTAGTAAAGTGGCAATGTTTATTGGAAAATGTTTGCTCGAAAAATCGTAATCTCACCTTGTAAACGTCAAAGTTTTCGATGATAGAGTCGAAACACGTGTACAGATCGTTGAGTAAATCTACGACCTGGAGAGGTGTACTCTCGGCAGAGAGCTTGGTAAATCCTACGATGTCGCTAAAGTAGATGGTCACTTGGTCATAAGTTTCGGCTATCACGCTCTGGCCGACTATCAACTGGGAAGCGACAGATCTAAAAATTCCGTTCAACGAACCGGTGAGTATAGATACATACGCATAGTGACGGAAAAATGGAACGGTGTCCTTTCGAAGGTTCGACGACGAGGTGGTGTACGATGACGAACTCGAGATACGATCTCTAAAAGTCAGATCCGACTTACTTTGGTAACAACTGGTATAGAAGTTCCTCGCATTTACGTTTCTCTTCGAGATAATCCGCGGTACGTTCCTCCACCAGGGTCTCCAAATTCGTGGCGTATTGTTCCATACGGGATAGCAAATTATCGAGGATGTTACTGCTCTCGTAATCTCTGAAACGGGATCGAGTACTTTGTCTATTTGTCGTTCGAAGAGAACGACTAATCGTTATCTCGTTACTCGAGAGGGCGTTGAAACGACGGTAATCGAACATAGGATATACGATCCGGTACGATTTATAAAACAGGTTTTGTATAGCGTATAGCGGGAATTTTGGAAAAATCGGAACGGCATCGCGATTACCGAAAGCGAATACGCGTCCGATAATTCGTTTGTCGTCGTTACGTTTTCCTAACCAAAGGCAAATTTGCATTCAGCCGTTATTTGTTCGCTCGTAAAACTTGTCGATGCGAAAGAACAAACTAAATGGAACGTTTCTGAGAGAAAGGCTATCTAGCCGGTAACATGATTCGATATGAAAATTACCGTCGATATCGGACTTAATTCACGTCGAGTAAAACGTTGAGGGAGGGATAAAAGCGCGATAAAAAGGAAAAGATTTGCTGTAAACCGTTAACTCTGCATCTTTCTTTCTTACATTATCTATATTAAATTTCTCCTGGCAAGAAAGAAAAAGGAAATATTCCCTCGAGGGATTCGTTACTTACTTGTTAATCTTCCGAATTGTCTGTTTGAGCGCTGGAAAATCTGGTCTATCCGCGGCGTCTTGTGCCCAACATTTCCTCATCAAGGTAGCAACCTATACAGAATCGTTACGGTTATGGTTCTCCTATTCCTTTGCGACGTTTAACAATGGAAAAAGTCTCGCTTACTTCTTCCTCGACCGCCGACTCGTCGATCGTAGGCCTCAACGGAGAACCTCCACCCCTTTTCACTCCTTCCACGATTTCTGTAAGGTAATAAAAAGAAGTTTGCAACGCGGCACGATCCAAGATTACTCTTTATTAGATTGCCTAGGAGAATATCGATAGAATATCGATAGAATATCGATAGAATATCGCGTTTATTTTCCATTTTCTACGCGATCCCGCGAGACTATCGCTTAAGCCGAGAGAGAGAGATTGGACGCAAAACGGGTATCGGGCTGCTGGCGTGCCGGTTCGATCGGTCTTCTTACTACTTACAAGCCGTATTCGTTTCAGTGAAACGGGTCTTGCTAGGTCGAACGACACGCGCGGTTGGCCGCGTCGTTACCAGACAGGAAGAACGACGTGTTTACACGGATTTCGAGGAACAATGGAAAACGTGCAATCAACGCGCGATGCGATCCAAGGGGCTCTCGAGAAACGAACCGTGTGTAAATTCGAACGAGGATTCTATGATATTAAATCACAGCGGAAAGACGAGAGGCGAAAGGTGTATGGTAAATATGCCACCTACTGTGCCTGTACAAATCCTCCAAGAAGGCGTTGCAAGTTTCGCAGTTGAGGGTGCAGTGAGGCCTACGAACTTCGAGCAACGGGCTGACGGCCCTTCGAGGACTGGCCCCACCATCGGGACTGGTACCCGGCATCGCCGGCAAAGTTAAACTACTCGTGCTCGACGTATTGCTTTTTTCCGCCATTTCTTCTCCTTTTTTTCTATCTATACCGAAAGCTATGTATCTCTACCTATCACCCGCTCAAATTTATCATCTCTCTCTCTCTCTCTCTCTCTCTCTCTCTCTCTCTCTCTCTCTTCCTCTGCCTCCCACTCTTTTTCTTTCTTTCTTTCTCTTTCTCTGCTCACACTCCCTTTCACCTTTCTCCCCTTCATCCACGCGATTGCACGCGCATTTCTGCGAATCGCGATACGAGAAAAATACAGTCGTTTAACATTGTTTACGGATGTATATCGTTCAATCGGCTCGAGATATCTACGTTTTCCGAAGTAATTCTTCGTTGTTTCCTCGATAGCGTAGCGCGTGGTTCAACGAGTTTTCGTGTAACGACCAAAGGGATGAACGAACGCGCGGTGATCTCCGACGTTAGAAACAGATGAGATTCGTTCCTTACACGACTGATTCGATTATTATCGCGCAAGTGATTTATTGCATCGTTATTTCCGTTCTTTCTTATTTACGACACACTTTGTTCGAATTATCGTTCTATATCTTTCGATCCTTTCCGTTCGCCTTCGAGGCACGGACGACGGATCGCGGTAATCATAGTAACGTTACCGAAAAGTTCAAGTTTCCGCCATATTCGGGGTGAATAAACTCTAGCAACACGTAAGGAGATATTTACGAGAAACGAGCGAACCAGTAATCCCTCCGGTGTTACTTTTCCGCTTATGCAACTGTTTGCGTTGACTTTTACATTCGATCACGACGTCTTTCATCCGTAAGAAGTCCGACGAATGCCAAGGAACAAGATTTTAGCCTCGTCCACGTAATCGCGGCAGTGTTCGAGCAGAAGACACCGCGAACTTTGCGAGCGGAATACACGTTCGTTCGTAATTTACCGTTCGTGGCCGAAAACGACTAATTTCGCGCGCACGTCGGCGCGCTTTCGTCACTCTTTCGTCCCGTATGAAATAATCAATTAATCGCTGAATCTCGGATACTCGGAAATCAGGGTAATTGGCTTCGAAAAAAGCGGCGGGGAGCTGAGAGAGAAAGAGAGAGGGGGCGGGCGAGAAAGAAAGAGGAAGATGGAGTGTGCAGATCGGGGGGAGAGAGAGAGAGAGAGAGAGAGGGGGGGGAGAGAGAGAGAGAAGGTGAGAAAGAGAGGGAGAAGAAAGGATCGGGGGCGGGAGAGGGTTAGAGAGTAGAGGAGCAAAGGGAAGGGTGAAAGGGAGAAAAGTGGGGTAAGTTGGAAGGGGAAGGGGTTGGATATCGAGCAAAAAAGAAAATCGGGCCGCGTAAATGGGACGGTCGAACGATTGGTAAACACAAGCACGTACCGAGTTAGACGCAGGCATGCAGGCATGCAGGCATGTAGGCATGTAGGCATGTAGGCACGCAGTTACGCAGCAGACACGCAAACAGTTGGAACACGCAGGATGGCACAAGAGAAAGAGAGAGAGAGAGAGAGAGAGAGAGAGAGAGAGAGAGAGAGAGAGAGAGAACGCGCGTGCACACACGATTCTCGAAAGGGTTGGCGAGGTCGGTTAATTAAACGGTGGTGGAACCGGCGAAACCGAGTCCTACCCGCGTTCGCGTACCGGAGCCTTTGATTCCCTATCGTGCGCGATCCTCGTCGATTTCACGTGTCGTCACTCGATCTTCCGGTGTACGTGCGAGAGTTGGTAGAAAAAAAAAATGGGGAGAGATGAAAAGAGAGTAAGAGAAAACGTGAGAACGAATGGAAGAAAGGGGAGGAGCAGAGAAACGACGAGGAAGCGCGCGTGCGAAACCCGTGTACGTTCCAGGACGCGTGAAAGCTTCGACTGAGCTTTCAACCCCGGTCTCGAAACGTTCCCAGCCTACTTGTGGCACGTTCCATCCTTTCATCGATCCTGCCGCTCGCGTCGAAACCGAGCTTGCGAAAGCTCGTAAACTTCGTTACCGATCGATCCGCCGCGGCGTAACCCAGTCTGGCAATTCCCTTCTCCTACGAGCTCCCATCGTTTTCATCGTTCCTCGTGTACCACCGACGTATACCCGACGCATCGCGTCGTCTCGCGTCGTTTCTCGTCGTTTCTCGTCGTTTCTCGTCGTTTCGCGTCGTCTCGCGTCTAGTCCCGGTCGATACGAATTACTCTTATTCTCTACCGGCGATGGCGAACTCCCTTACCGGTCGGTCGGTTCAACGGTCGGTCCATTGCTCGGTCCATCGGTCGGTTCATCGGCGGACGATCAATTCGACAAAACGTTTCGTTTCTTCGACTGACGAAACGATTCGTAACGATTGGACACGACGAGAGGACAAGGTAAGACGCGTGACGCATTCGCTAAAACGACTTACCCTTTGGGGAGTAATCGTAGTTGTCGCCCAAGTAGAACGGTCCCTGGCGTACCACGATTTCATGGACGATTATGGCAAAGCTGTACACGTCTCCTTTTTGCGTACCCTCGGGTGGATGTCCTTCCATTCCCAATAATTCCGGAGCCGTCCATAACTGTGCTGTACGAACAACGATGCTTTACTATCCCGCGTTTACGTTCGCGACGACGCACGAGACATTTGCGAACGTGCGTACGTGTACGAGGTGTTTCGAAGATTTTCTCCACGCGTTACTCGTATCGACGAATACGCCATTTCCGAGGAAATCGTTTAACCCGCTTTCGAAACATCCCGCAACGTATAATTTTCCATTTCCTCTCACCCTTCCAATAGGCGTAACTGGTCTTGTCGTCGTCCGTTTCGAAGTAGTTCGCTCTTCTCAACTCGTGCAATCCAAAGTCGGTAATTTTAAGGACAAATCGTGAATCGACCACGCAGTTGGAGGACTTTAAGTTACCGTGACTCTTCACCTCGGATGCGTGAAGATACGCCATTCCTCGAACGATGTCGTGAATAAGGGATCCTCGAAACACGCGATCCAGTTTGATCTGTTCGTTTTCCAATATATCCTGTCGCGGAAGTAACGCGCTAAAGGTCAGTCCGAAATTTATTCCTCGTTGAATCCGATGGATTCAGAAAGAAACTAAACTTTAATCTCGGAAACATTTTCATTTGGATTACATTTTTAATCGAGTCCGATAACGAATGCGACGTTATCGTGGATGCGACGTGAGTCAAATTTAATACCGTTTCTCCTCTATGGATCGTACAAGTACGGAAAACCTGCAGCATGAGATAACTATTAATCCGAGACATATAATTAACGACAAACTGCTTTTATCGAGTAACCTCTTTCGCGTACGCATCAGCGACTTTATTACATTCTCGCGTATTCTCGTTGGAGCTATATTTTCGGATAATTGCGCGACATGTCGCGATTACGATAAGCGAATTAGCACGAATCGTTGAATATTCGCGAAACGTTAACGGGATAAAATTCTACCGACAAACCTGAAGCGATCCTTTCGGGCAATATTCGGTCAAGAGACAGCAATGCGGAGGTTCGACGCAGGCACCATAAAACCGCACCAAATGATCGTGTTGAAGGTCCTTCATCTGTGCAAATAAAACGGTAAAAGTGTCACCTTTTATCTAGAAAACTATACCGATTAGAGTAGAAAGTTGTTCGAAAAATGTACCATTTTTCACGAACTTTCCGTTCAGAAAGGCGTGTGTCTCACAAATTCGATAGACCGTTCCGAGAGCTGAATCGAGTATACTCACCCTTTTCAGTTCGAGCAGCAGAGGCCGCGAGATTTCCACCTTGTTCCTCGGTATCAGTTTTATGGCAACCTTAGAGTTCTGCGACCAATCGTATCGTATTATCTTCAAAGAGCTTTTTGCTCTCACGCATTACGTATTTCTATGATCCGTTCTATGATCCGCGACTAAGAGTTTCGAGGAAAGAAAGTGAGAAACAAAACTAAATTTATGAAAATGAAAAATGTAAAAGAGAAAGGAGACGAGAGCGAAAGAGTAAATATATAAATAAAGGGGCATATACGCGGATAGTGTAACGCGTAAATCATCTTGGGTACACGTCGCTTTACCGTCAGTAAGGTCGAACCTTGTAAATTCCCGTTGGTATGTAGACGTTTCTATCCACTTCACCCGGTAAACTGACGTTTTCGTCCGAGTATATGGTCTGGAACGAAAGAAAAGAATATTCCTTTTGGTTACGCTCGCTTCGCGTCAGCTTTGTAGCTGTCGCGTTTCGCAGTAGCAGCTACCCATTGTACTTGTAACAAAGGAAGAAAAATTCGACGTAGTTATATTCGAGATAGGCGTAAAAGAGTATAACCTCGTCGAAATTCGATACACGCGTGTAGTCAATGCGACATTTCCCTATCTATTAACGACTATCAAACGATGTCGAACGATCTCGGCTTCGATCAGCCTTCGAATGCTCTCTGCACCTGTCCTTGACAACTTTCAGCCCAACTTGGAACGAGAGCTTAATTCGAACTATCAGATTGCTCCGATGTCTTTCGATTCTCGATGTGCTTTCTTCCTTCGAAAAGAAATGGGAGAAAAGGAAGGAAAAATATGAAAACGAATAATCGAGAATGAAAAGAGCTTACGAGAGCACATACATGGTAACTCGGTATCGCGATAGTCGTTTCATCGAGAAATAATGGTTATATTTCGTATTCACCAGATCGCTACCGCGCATCCTGCTTGCGATCAACGAGTACATGGAACCTCGCGTTTTTGCATACGGCACGGCAATAGTAATGTCGTCCCAGTGTACCTTCCACGTCATGGAGGCTATTTCCGCTTCGAGTTTAAAGTGTCTGAAAGAGGAAAGAAAGGAAAATAAATTTTTCACGAGAATGCGGAAAGTGGCTAGGCGTATAACTACCGGAGAATTGCTAGGGCATTACTAGGAACCGTATAGAAGAACTACCGACGAGAAAACTCGTTGGCGTTTCGACTAGCGAATTGATCCGTTTAATACGGTTAGGGATGGTCGGCCCATGAAAGTTTAAGGCGTCCGTCGAACGGTCTGGCCGATCCGCGATTTCGCTATGGATCTTGATATTAATAGGATTAAGACGTTAAAGCGGAGAGGGAATAGAAGGAGGCGAACGGAAGCGACGATGTTGGAAGGAACGAGGCCGAGTGCCGTTTCTCGATCGGAAATGGGAAAGCGGTGGATTAATCGCATTGCGTTTACCTGTAAATGAAGACCGAGGCAACGATGAGAAGAACGACGATGGAGCTCAATACCATCGAGAGTATCGCGTGTCCCGGTAGAGCTGTGGCAGAAAAAGAAAAAAGAAAAGAAGAATAAAAGGGAAAGCGTGAAAGGCATAAGAAGGGGGAAGACGCGATGACGCGACGAATGGAGAGAATGAAAATCGGAACAGGACTCACAGTTGTCAGGGCAGAGGGAACCGTCGAAGCCGCAGGTTGGTGTATCCGGCGGTGGTACCGATCGACCACCCGACCAGTGTATCCTCTTCCCAGGTACGTATCGTAACGTCTTATTGGCACCGTAGTAATGGGCGACAATCTGCGACACACGATTCACGGTGACCGCGTTATAGAACGCTCACGGGTTCGATACGCGATCGATTATTTTACCTCGAACTTGGACGTTTTCGGGTTCATGTCGAGAAGTGAATAATCCGCTATTCGATCCCCGTTCTCGTCGATATTCACATCCCCTGTTATACCTGCAAGCAAAACCGTTCGCGTTGATGGTGCGCGACCAGAGCGCGCGGGCAGAAGCGCGTACGGTTGAGGGGTGCAAGGATTGCGGGCAAGAGAAGCTTCGAGAGAACACGAAATTAACAAGATAACGCGAGAAGCGGGCGAAACGGATAGTGAACGCGGGAAATAAAAAAAATCGCGGCCACACCTTTGAAACTTCTACCCCACATTCTTCGGGTGAGATTACCGCCGTCCAAGTTCACCCTGCCAGGATGCTCCGGTAAGATCTCTTTGAGAGCGAGAGCGTAAAGTATAACCGCGTCGTAAAAGGCAGTTACGAAGGTCGAAACAGAGTTGTTTCCGAAGGTGAAATTGTAGTTGGATTGCGCGAGAGCTTTCACCTCTCGCGAAAAGTTCAAATACTCGATATTATCCGGGGTTCGAGCGGTGACCGTCAACAGTGCCTGATAAGCCTTTCGAGCCTTTTCGTTTCTTTCCGCCGTGTCGGTTTCCACCTTCCATGGTTCCTTCGAGTCGCTGTCGCTGAAACAGTCAAACAAAGCGCATCCATTCCCGACGACATTGTCTCTTTTGGATCAACCCCATTCGGAATTCTCTACCCAATTGAATAAGCTCGTTCTACGAACGATGATACGTATGATGTTTCCATTGTACGATAATAATAATAATAATAATAATAATAATAATAATAATAATAATAATAGTGAAAAGGACGATAACGATACGGAGAATCGTATTCCAAATGAAATTCCTATTCCACGACAAAGCGAACCGAACGACGAATGGATCGAACTTTGAAAGTTCCGCCTCGATCTCGCTGCGTTTAGGCGATTAGGCAGATTTATTATCGCCGCCGGTTCGAGAGCACTCGGTCGAATTGGCTTTCGCATTGGACGAGGATTATATAAGATAAGTACATACGTATCATCGATACGCGTTTCTCATTCTCCGCGCATACCTGGACGTAAGCTCTATAGAAAAGAACACGTATTCTCCGGAATCGACCATTCCGAGCTGTTCGGCAGCCAGAAGAATTTCTCTGATAGTCGTCGAATTGGCGCACATCACTACGACTGAAACAAGGAAAGAACGACTCTTTACTTTTCCGAACGAACATTCCCGACGAGTGAACGCGACGAGTATCTCCGCCGAGATTTTAATAACCGTCGTGTGTTTCGCGCACCGAGACGAGACGTCGCCGTCTATCCGCGAACGCGATTCCGGTCGGGGTAGTTTTACGAATAACTCTAGATCGTGACTCACTCCTGGCAGATTTCGAGAGGAAGGTGAGCAAACTTCGATAATCGTGGACAGTAGTGGACTCCTGGTTGAAGCTTTTGTGAACGGGTGTTTGATCGAGAGCCGTGAAAACGGCACCCAAGGTGAAATGGCACTCGGAATTGCCTCGGCTGCTCGCCATCGCGTGGTTGTGATAAAGAAGTCCGGCTATCTTCCATCCGAATCGCTTCAAGATGTGTCGAAGCGCCTCGCCGACCAACCGATGAGAACCCATCATCCGGGTCAACGTCGGATAGTGCTCGGTCTTGTAACGGAACGCCTCGGCCTGAGCACCCGCGGTCAACACGGGAATACCCCATACTCCGGCGTATCGCGCCACAGGTGCTATCACGTAGTCGCATACGGGACCAAAGAAGGCATCTGCGTTCACAAATGTCCGCGCGTTCAAAACCTCCCCGAAAACCTTCTTCCCGATTGTGTTTGTTTCTCGCAGGACAGGGGATACCTTTCGGGGCTTTCGCGCATCGCCACCGAATTCGATCGTTATTCGCTAATTATTACGCGGGATCCCCTTTAAGCGTCTGAATACCGATTTACTTACTTCCCGTCTCGCTCATCCCCTACGCTTTCTCCCCAACGCGAAATCGAAATCGCGAAAAGGGTGGTTTCGTCGATTTTCCATTTTTACGAGGTACGATTACGGATGACGAGGGGAGCGTAGTAGATTCTCTGTTCTCTTAGAGGAAATTTGAACGAAAACGGATTGGAAGATTTCGTTGGAACGAAGCGGAAACGAACGGAAAAACTCGTTGACGTAAAACGTAAAAGGATCGACGGAGAATGGAATAGGAGGATACCGCTGGAAATAGTTGGAGGACGATTCGATAAGTAAACGGGAAGCGATCGGAGCCGGGGAGGGAGGAATCGGTAGATATCGCGAACGGTCGTGTCTCTCGATCAGGAAAAGTAACCTTCGTTCCGAGCATTCCCGTGTATTCCAATGAAAATAAATAAAATATCGCGACGCAACGGCGGAGAAAGTACTATTACGGGACGAGCAGGGTGGATTCCTGCAGCGCCAAGTTTCGCCGGACAATTACCGCGTGACACGAGGGAACGCGACCCGACGCGATACAGTGATTAGAGAGAAAAATGAAGGAGAAAAAACTGTTGTTTCTCACCATAGCATCCGCTCGCTCGATCGATACGAGGAACGAGAAAAGTAAGTTTCGACGCAGTTGGCGTGTTTCGAGACGCGAGGCTGAATACGTGGAAGGTACCGTGTACGATCGCCGTTGATGATTCCCGCGTGTTCCAGCGAGACCGTTTTACTGCTGCTCGTCACGTAAACACGGCTTTACGCGATCGCCGTGTTGCGTTATAGGCTGAGAAGACGAAACGAAATCGTTGATATTCGCTCGACCGACGAAACGCTTTAACGTTTACGCTGATACCGCCAACGGACAACGTTTAAACGTCTCGCGATGAAGGCGAAAGAGAGTATCGAGGGAAAGGACGAGGAGTGACAGGTAACTAATGGTAAGAAGACAGAAGCAGTAACAGCGGACGCGTAATTAAACGGAATGGAGGAGGTATTTAATGATTCGTTGGGTAAGAGAAGGGAAGAGAAAAGAGACAGAGCTGGCTTTTGGTTGAGTGACCGAGCGCCAGTTGCACGTCGTCGCGATCGTGTCGCATCGATGGCCGATGGCCGATGATGGTCGGTGGTGGTCCGTGGTCAGTGCCTCGTGGCCAATGCCAGTGGTGATCGATCATCGAATACGCGAATGTGACGTCAGTCATGGACCATCACTTTCCGTTTCGCGGTTCACCGTGGCCCTAGTCATCGGCCACGGGGCCGAGACGAGAATCGTTTTAGGTAACTCGCGCGATAAAGCGATCGCCGATAAACGACTAGGTAAACGATTCTGATTATGTCGTAGATGTCGTGACGAGCGAATCGGCCTGTTGTTGGAACGAAATGGTGAAATCGTTGTTTCACTGGGAAGCGTTCGCGACGCGTGCCACGAGGGAAACGAGAAAAAGATGGAATAAATCGGGGATGAGAAAGACAAGAACGGATGACCTGCCGTCCGATTGATGTAAAACTCGAACGCGGCCAGCGGGCCGTAGATGCTGGAGCATCGAGAGTCCCGATGATCGACCGTGATGTTCCACCCTGGTAGTAGTCCTTTCGCGGAACTGACCGCCTTCACCGCGAGAAGGACGGCCGGTAATACTCTCGGCAAGCTCTGTTCGTGATGAGAATCGGCCGGTGCTATCACGGCCAACTTCACCTCCCTTTCGAACGGTAGTTGCGTTTCCAGACGTTCCTTCGCAGATTCTACAGGCACGCTGTTGTTATTCGCGCTCGCGCTAGCACACATCGTCGTCAGGAACAACGTCAGCCGCATCGATGAATCGCTTCTGCACTTTTGCATCTCGTTTTCGTTTTAATCACCCAATCACGGGACATCCGAATCCGATAGATACCGCCGTTTAATCCCGCCGTTTACGAATTAGCGCGTCGCTTCTTTGAAACGCGGACCGACCGGACATATTCGTCTTTCTCTTCGGTTTCTTCGTGATTCCGAGATCTCGAAAAATTATCTCGCGGTCGCGTTCGCGTTCGCGCCTCGCGTTCGCGCCTCGCGATCGACGATCAGCGAATCGATGCTGATCCACGCGTCATCCTCGCGAACTAAAATGCGTTTCTTTCCGCACGAAACGCGACCTCTAGCCTGGATAAAGTAGCGATCGCGCGTGCATAGGCGTCGCGTGAAATTTTACAAATCCAAACATCGCCTTTTCGAACACGCGTTCCACGTTATTTCACGCGACGATCTCGGATTCCCACCCTCTCCTCGTACTGCGTGCTTCTTTCTCGCGTGCGTGTCACGCGCCAAGCTTATCGCAGCGGAAACCGCGTGCCGTTTGGAAAAAGGCAAAAGCTCGAGAGCGAAAGGAGCGAGCGAGCTTGGACCGCGCGAACGAAACTGAGAGGCAAACACCGAGACCCTCCCGCTTTTCTCTCAATCGCACCACCACCAATGTCGCACCACGTTCTTCTTCCTTTTTCTCTTCCTCCGTTTGCTCCTTCTATCTTCCTCTTCCTCTTCCTCTCGGTTGCTCTTCGCCCCTCCGGCCGCGGACGCGCATCTAGGATACGAGACCGTACGTGCACGTTGCTGCGCCGATCGCGACCACAGGTAGGAGAACGGTATGAACGCATGCGTCCGGACACGTCCTCTGCCTCCTATCAATCTCTCTCTTCCGCCCTTTCGTTATCCCGCGCGGGCGTAACACCGATATCGTCCTATTCCTTCGCGTTATGAAACCTTCGCCCAACGATTTCCGTAGAAATCCCGATCGATCGGAACCTTTTCCTTTTTCTCTTCCACCCTGCGAAAGGAAGAACGCGAGTAGTATCCGGCAACGACATCATCGAAATCGTTCGATTCGAAAGAGAGGCAGAGGGATCGACTTATCGACGGATGAAGAGCCGTGTCTATTATCGACGAAAGGTACGTTCGTTATCGACGAAAGTAACAGCATTCCTGAGACCCGTGTCGTCTGGCAAAGTTGAAACGATCGAAACGATCGAAACGATCGGAACGTTGAAACGAATTTACGAGTCACGTGCGGATTCGAATGATTAATCGGTGGCAAACAGTGAGAAGAAAACGACGTTGAGAGTAAAATCGATCGATCGAAAGAGCCTTGTAACACTTTGAACGGATATCGATCGCGTGCGCATTTTTGTACGTTATTTGTCGAGAAAACGTTTAAATATAGACTTTGTGACGCGTCTGCCGTATATCGTACCGTAACGGAGCAATAATAGAAACGCTTTGGCTCGATGATAACGATGTCGCGATAACGCGCAGGAAACAATGCGATAACGTTGACTTCGCTTAATTGATACGGACAATTAGACCGACGAACGTATAGTCGCATTTTCGATCGCCTTTTCTCCATCGAACGCAAAGACAACGCCAACAGTGTAAAAAGTGAGAAATCGCGAGATGGATGAAAGGGGAAGGGTAACGCACGAGCGACCAAGTACGATGGCAAACGGACTTGGCGTTGAGATGGAAATCGCGAATCACGATCACGACACGTTCTCCACGATTTCTTCTCAAACGAGATTGAACGACGATTCGCCGCTCGGCTCGTTGCCATGCAGGGCGATCCTCCATGTCTCCTTTTAATGACGTACGCTTGTTTGTCGATGTAGTAACACCCCTGATGAACGACTGCGATAACAAAAAGTATGCTCAAAGTCGAAGCATCGACGATAAAAAGCGTGCGACGAATTATGTTTTTATCTGCCGCGTATACCGTGTATACCGTGTATACGCGGAAACGCGATACGCGTCTTTTCGTTGCATCTGTTTTTCGTACGATTTCGTCTAAACTCGATGTTTACTCATATCGTTTATTCGTATCGGCAAGAAGCAAGAAGCAACGGAGAGGAGCGCAGGGCAGAAATATTTCTCCAATTGGTAGTTCCGCGATCGCTCGTGGAAACAAATTCGCGTAAACGTTTATTTGATTGGCCAGTGATTCGCGAAACGCGTTAAAAGACCATCGTGTATACGTAGGTTCGCGACAACGACGACGACAACGACGGTTCAGATTCGACTGAAAGACTCGTTAATTCGCTGTCGTAGAAGGCGGATCTCCAAGACGTCTTATTGACTTACCACCGTACCAGTTGCCCACATGATTTTGCAACACCTCTGAATAATCCTCGGACACGGTGGTTTCCACGTCGAAAGTGCCAAACGTAAAGTTTGGCTCCTTCTTGATAAACTCCACCATTGATTTCATCAGTAGCTGACAAGTGTGTCTACCGGCGACTTGACATTGTCCATTGGTCGCGTACACCAAATGCACCTTCCGCCACTTGTATCTGAAACAACGATACGAATTATTCGACCTGAAGCTAGCGTGAAACCTAAATCGCCGATTCATCGGCTAATTCTCCTTTGATTTACCGATTCATCAAAGCGACGATGAAATTGGCGAGATCCCTGAAGGCCACATTTCCGATTCGCGTTGTCATAAAGTATTCGTCTTTGCATTCGGTCTTCTTTTCCGTGAAATCGAAGGTAAATCCACCGGTTGTAATTAACGGTGAACCAAAGAATTTCACCACTCTGCCAACAGCCGCTGAAATCGCGTACGTATGTGTATCCCGTGGTATAAAAGTGGACGGCCGGAAAGATTCTACTTACCTACGCAATAATCACAGGCAGGCCCAAGAAACAGATGAACGCAATTCGAAAAGCTATCGATTGCGCCGATCTGAGCGTACGTTGCATCGCAGTGATCGTCTTGCGAAAGGAATTTTAGCTTCAACCAGTAGGGTAACAAATTTCGCGCTCTGGCTTCGTAAACGGCCAAATCTGTGAACAAGATGAGAACGAGCAGAGTCTTGGTTATTTTCTTCCGATAGATTTCCCGTAAATTTGCCGTTTCTGCCTGCGAAATCGTTCCAAGAATACGTACCTAGCACCGGAAGAACTTTGGGTAACGCGATATCAAAACTCGGATCCGCCGGTAATAGAACAGCTACTCTCAACTCGCAGGAAATCGTACCGTAACGATTTTTCTTGCAAAGGGCTTCGCAGTCGCGGGCCAGTTGCACCTCGCGACAAGTCACTTTCCCATTCACCGAACAAGTTAGCCAGGCGATCATCAATGCAACGATCCAATTAGTACCCATGTATGTAACGCGCTCCCGTATGATGTTTCTCGTTGTCTCCGCCGCCGCGCGTCATACGTTTTCTCCCTTGAAACGAGATCGGCCTACCGCTTCGAACGCTTCGATGACAACCAAGTCTGCTTCGCTACTGCTTTGCTACCGGCCCGAATCTTCCCATCAATGATTCCTCTCTTCCAGTTCATCCTTTTCCCTCGCAAATTTACCCTCTCTCTCTCGATCTCTTCTTTCGATTTCTTCTGTCGATTTCTTCTTTCAAAGAAGGGTCGTCCGCTCGATCGACACTCACTCGCTCATCTGAACCAGTACTCCGATTCAATAACGGAACCGAGATGCCATCTATATACCCTTAGCTCTTTAAGGACTATTCTCGGACTTCAGCTTCCTGTTGAAATCTTTCCAACGCGCGTCACCTAGCCCCTCCGTGACTAGTACAACATTCCCACCAACGATTCCCACCTGATCCAAAGTGAACGACCAATTTCATTGGTCAATAACGTCTAGCGATCGTTGGGAAAATCGATCTTCCGGTTATAACGGCGTTATCACATTCTCACCTCTTTTCTCACCCTCACTGTCGGCGAAGCGACGAAAGATATTAATCCAAGGGAATCAGCGAAAGAACCAAGATCCTGAAAATGAGCAAAGTAGTATCACTGACACTCTCTGTTCGATGATCTTAAACCACATCAACCAGTCGCGAACACCCAAGTATACCTCTCGTTCGCTCGTGTCGTGTTATCACTGATTTTCTATCGCGTCGATTGATAATAGCTATCGAAAGCTTCGCTCTCGTCTCCTCTCGTGTTTTCTTCGACGGCTACGATTAATAATCTAACACCATTCCTTTCTCGCGCATATACATACGTACCTCCACCTTTGTTTTTTTCTTTTTTCTTTCCTCGATGCTATCTTCCAATTAACCGCCAATCTTTCCCGCCAACTTCGACATCGTGCAGAAAATTCCACGGCTTTGTTTCGTTTTCATCTTTTTTCTATGTACCTTGCTTATTTTCTCTCGTAATATTGAATAGCATCACGATTCGACAACCATTGTTATAACGCTTAATCATTTATTCGCAATCGACACGTTTGAACGTATATTTTAAATCCATCCAAATCACTACGATTATTCGAGTAGCTTCGACTAATTTTTCACAACATGTTCCTAAAGTAATCAAGATAACATGAGTGAACGTTCACGAAAATTGTAATTTTTAAAAACTATTCTCCTTTTCTTCCAACTTCTTTCTTCTACGATCATAATTATACGAACGTCGAATCTATTTAAAAAAGAAATCAATAAAAAGCTTTCGATCATTTATCTAATTATCAATCTACTATTTATGTTAAAAACAAATGTTTAATGTTATTATATATGTAAACACTTTACCGATGCGTGCAGCTATTCCACCAATTAAAATGATCGGCACGCCAATTTGTATTTCAAATATTTTTCCACGAGAACAACTCTTATCTTTTCGATGACAAAGGACGTATCGAAATATCGCATGCGGTTTCCTTTCATTTGACTCTAGTTCATGCACGTAATTTCGCGGGAAATAACTTCATCAGTTATTATTCTATACAATCTCGCAGAAAATTAATGCTCGTCTTTGTCTGAATTTTCGAAAATCAATGAAATTAGAAATTTGCGATTGTTACGAATTAGAAATTTGTTGGTATGAGATGGTATTGATACGATCAAAAGAACGGAAAAAATCGATAAGAAAGAAAGTGATCGTGTGCCCTATTGGCTGAAAGAATCTAGACGAATATCACCAAGTATTTTAAATCCGAGTATATTTTGGATGCAATTGACGAAAAAAACAATAGCGCTTGACGCAGTTTTAAAAGGAAGCAACGATTATGATATGCTTTGCTCTTTTGTTTATCATGAAGACAATGGTTCTCACAAGTATGTGAATGCTTATCCTAAAAGGTATTGGTCCTATTACCACAGTCGGTCACCAGAATAAAGTTGCACTTACCAGGTATGTTACCGATAATGTTTCGCCGTCTGTAAAAATCTTTAAAGATACACGTACGCGTAAAAGTGATGCGATAAATTTAAATGCAGGTAATTCCGTATCGTTCCCCCTGTCGGTTGTATCTAAATTTAAAATATTCGACCGATATGAATGTGAGAAAATATAGACCAACCATGACGAACTCGATAATTGATAGTTTTTGCATGTATTTATTCGAGACATATACTGTGTAACGAGTCCAACGTAATCATCTTAAATTCGAGTTATATTTAACATCGAAAATGTAACCTTCGAATATAATTATCATCTTCGTAGACTAGTAAAATTTGCATACGAGGATGTCTTGAACCTTAGATTTACAGACAAATCACACGATATTTTAAGCTTCTTCGACATAATACAGCTCGAACAATTGATCGCTCAAATGAAAAAGGGCAAACAATTGTTTATCGATACGGTAATTTACTCGAAAAACAAGCATTTCAGAGTATATAAATCGACTAAATGGAAAAGACACACAAAGAAAACAAAACCGACACTCGAAATCTCGAATGATTGAAATATATTCCATATGATGAATACCGTGATAAGGAATTAAACATATTTGTAGATTCTTTAATAGCTTATTTTCCAATCAACAGAGATATATATATATATATATATATGTTGAAAATATCCAATATTGACTGATTATATAAACTGTATAATATATCTTGATACAATACATGTGTGTAAATACTTTGAGTCTCTGGAAATAACAGCATATTAAACTTTAGGATATAGGTATTTATAATCACATATAATGTAATACAAAAGAATAATATAAAAGTAGTGCTACTTTGCTTCTTTGCCGATAGGTACTGTAAAAATATTAGCAGCTGCCAAGAAATTACCAATGTTTCCTTAATTGTAAACTTAAGAAACAAAATGATGTATCAAGATTGTTGCACTCAAGACTGCTTTGATTTCAGATCTCGATCAAAATGAATACCATACGAAATTTGTTTCTAAATCGATGAAGACGGTGATATGCTTTTGAATCGTATCATGATAACAGAGGACATAGTGTAGCAGACTAGTCCTTTCGATATCAAAAATTTTTTATTGCGTTCTAAATATCTGAAAGACAGAGTCATTAGGTGTAAAGGTAACACACAGATGAGAACAAACTTTCTGAACAATTTCGAGTACGCAATACACAGCTATGTTTCCATGATACTGTCTCCTGAAATCGGTACAAAATGTGTAATGTTAAAATATAAAACACTTACATGCTTTTGAATTGTTTTTACAAATGAAAAATATTTGTGCAATGTTACGTTTGGTGCAAACGTTTTTAAACATCTTACAATATACTAGGTTATAATATACATTAACGACATCTAACACATTATTTACACTTCATATGCAATAAAAATAGATAAATTCCGTGTGTATAGACATACATATGTAACTATATATAAGAAATTATAAAATATATGTGTTTGTATAAGAATATAAATTAATAATATAAGAATATTAATTTTTCATATATTATGCAGTTATTTATATTTGCACTACCCTGAGTGTACATAGATACAACACAGCATTCTAATTGTGTAATGTATTATGTAAACATAGAAAAAGATGTAGAAATTCTGTGTTTACCTCTGGACCTTTTCCAACTTTAGCCCCTTTTTCCCCCATTTGTTCTCTACTATCATGCAACGAAGAGTATGAGCGAAATTAATTATGAATATAACAAGAGCCATATTTGTTACAAAGTACAAAATACTACAGAAACAAATAGTTACAATGTGGTATTTTTAGAAATTTTTCCTTCTGATCCTGATCGAAAATGTACAATATCATCGTTGTAATAACGTCGGTGATCCAATGTATTATTCATTCGAATCTGTATTGTGTCGAGATCGCGGTTGTTACACTACCATTCCGCTTGCACGGCGTCACGTTAAAGTCTTTCTATTGGCCAAAACCAATTTCATTATTTCAAATATATTGCAATTATTGGTCAAACAAATTATTTTATAAGGAAGAAATAACGTAATAAACCCCTGCCTTCGTTGGTCGAGTTTTCCGTATTTTCTGTATCTTCGTCACTTGGATCACTTTCTTGCGTTTCTGTCAATGTTAAGGTTTTAACTTCATCAACAAAATCACATTTCTTCTCGTCATTTTTCTTCGGTGTTTCATTTTCTTTATCTCTTTGCGTCTTACTGTTTTCCACGTTATGTTCGTATACAATCTCATCGCCCGAGGAAACATAGTCGGTATTAGAAATATCTGTATCCTCTTTTGTACGTTTATAACTTTGATAATTTTTCGATGCTTGTCTCATACGAATTAGAAAGTCTGGTAATCCTAATAAATACAAACACAAATTGAAATTTGTATATGAGAAAAAGTTCCAATAAACAAAGATTCTCATTCCTTTCTTTTTTACTTTCTTGGAGCATAAATAAAGCATACCTGACATTGCGACCCACGCAGTAATCGCAGAGGGAATATTTACACCAGAATCGTCAAAGTAGGTCAATCCAAATTCAATGCCTGGCTGATGAAGTTCTGTATAAGACTTTATCACCATGTACGACCAATATGTTGTGACCCTGTTGCATATACATAGTTGAAATTATTTACTAATATCGAAAAATATTCTGAAACTCTGCAGATCTTTTTTGAAATTTACTTTTATAATTCTAGCAATCCAAACACTTTTATCGAGCAAGATAATCCAATAATGAAATATGTCATTAAAAAATACCAATCCATAGTGATTTAATATATACAAAATCCTAAGTTGTGGAAGATATTTAGAGTACCTGTATGTTCCTGGTTTCGTGGGCGCACTAGGATGTTCCGTTACTCTGCTTATAATTACGATTAATCGCTTTTCTTTATCCACAAGCCATCGTCGTTGAAATACGTAGTCCCTATTAGTAAATAATCTCTAAAAAAACAATACGACAATATTAAGTAATTATTGCTTTACACGAATTATTACATACCGGCCATATTGTTTCCCAATATATAATATCGGCACCATTATCGATTGTTTTTGGTGATTTCGGATCGGTATCTATGACTCGGATTTCTCGAGCGGTTGGATCCCATTTTGTTCGATAATCAAGATCTATTTGAGTTTGCAAAAAGTCTTCAGCGGTAACGTCAGAGAACGAACCATACACTTTATATGCAAACAGACCACCGGAATTTGGTTCTTCTCTCCTCCAAATTAGCATATCTTGCCGTTCTATGTACGGTCTCCATCCATCTGCTAAAACCGAAGAAACTATATGTCAGTTATAAATATGATTAACGATGAACAAAGTAACATTCATGAAAAGAAAAAAGCGTTACGCACGATCTTGATTGACAGTGGCATTAAATTTGTCACTATAACAAGTACAATAATTAATGCCAGGTTGCTGAGTGTCTATTATGATCCTTTGATGACATTTTGCGCACATGACCGTAGACTCTTTCAACTTGTCGATTACTTTAATCTCTTGTTTATAGCTAACAAGCAAAAGAAGTAAAAATAGAGAATAAGATGTAGAGAAATTGATAAAACTTGGAGAATGTATGGAAAAGCGAAAAGAGAGTTATGAAAATCCATTCATTTTACCTTTTCAATTCTTCTTCGCTTATTCTTTCACGATCCCAATTGTATGTTGTTATACCAATGCTGCTCCATAAAAAATGCTTAGCATTTATCAAGGTACTACGTTTCCAAGTTTTCATAAACTCTTTAAGCGCTATTTCATCCCATATTCGTGTATACAAATGGAATAATTGCAAAGTCCTTCTGATACGTTGAGCAGCAATAAATTCAAACTGTCTGGCACAAGCTTCGGCTACCAGACCGCTCTGTTCTTTTAACCAAAATGCTATTCTACTGCGATATTCGTAAAATCTTCCATATTTTTCGTATTGTCCGAAAGAAGAAGCTGACCTACTTCCATTTCGAATGTAATTCGTACCGAACTGTTTTGTTACCATACATCGCAATACATACATCGTTAGTCCGTTTATTAGTTTACGTCCTTGAAAAAATTCTTTCGAATAATAAAATAAGGAAACGAAACGGGATTTAATCGTTTTGAACGTTTTTCTACTTACAGTATACAATCTAGGAGAATGAATTTATAGGTTATATTCTATTTCTTAGAATTATCAATTAAACAAAAAACATTGCCTTTTACCTGGATTTCGGAAAGTATCACGATAACGTGATCATTGCAATTTTATTTAAGAAACTATGAATTACATATGAAATTATAAAGCATAATGATGCTGCAATCAATGTTACACCAACTGATATCATGAAACACTAATGCAGGTTCACGATCATATCGATATCTCGCCTGTGAATATATCGAATGGAAAAATCATCCACCGTAAATTAATCGCATTTCGATGTATCACGATTATACAAAGTTTCGATATATCGATATAGTAAGTTCTGTTCCAGCAACTAAACATAACTTGACAAAAAGAGTGCCAGTCCTTCAGGTCACCGTTTTAGTTGAAACTTTGCACGTTTGTAGATTTCGTCATGTAGTTCAAGAATATATATCATTATAGCTGCAACTACTCAAGAGCTTTTGAAATATATATAATTGAAGTTTTATTACAGTAGACATTAACCATTTATTTTCAACATTCCCTAAGTGGAGTTGTGGCCTAACGGCTACATTCGCGAATTCCTATGCTGCAGGTCCGAAGTACAAATCCCATCTACAGTTTTGGCAGCTTTTTTTCAATCTATTTTTTATTTTATACTCATTTTTCGCTTATGAAAGCATTGTAAATAAACAATCGTAAATAAAATTTCTTAATAAAAAAATTTATTTTTTTCGCTTTCTTATGCCAGTATATATTTATTACAAAATAATAAGAATGCTATGCAAGAAAAACAGTTTTCTATAGCAATCTTATTTACTACAGAAAGGAAACGAAAATATAAATAATCATTAGATACAGCAGATACAAAACGTATCGCTCATGTAAATATTAATTAGTAAATTAAACACTGCATAAGAATGTTGCCTATAATTCCAACTTAGCCGTGCAGCTATAAATGTTCATGAATTAATTACAGAACCTTGAAAATTTATTAATTTTCTACTGCCGAATTGATTTATTAAGATCTTAAATTCTTTTAGAATTAAACATTTTTACCGCCTGCGATCAGCGCCATCTATGATTTGGGCTCAAAATTCAAGAAAGTGATAAAATCGGCAGCGGAAAATTCACTAATTACTCAATATCTGTGATTAATTTATGAACTTTTATAATTGCATCGTAAAGGCAGATCCTTCAACAACTTTCCAATATATTTTTCGATATAAATTTGCTCCTGAATAATTAATTATTAATTATTATTCTACGAAGTGTTTGAATTGTTGTCGAAGACGCCATTGGTTTTTTATTAATTACTATCCTTTACGCAATTAATTCGTGAAACTTTATGCACTCGTTATAAAAACAATGTTCTTACGAATCTTCTCATATCACTTTTGTTCACATTTTGATTCTAGTTTCGGTGAGTATTAAATATTTTCACGGAAGATCGTGATGGTCGCCGTTACGAAATCATAGACGCCATAAAACAAAAATTAATAACTAATAATTTAGAGTTAAATTCTTTACGAATATTACATAAGAATGTAGCCTGAAGTTCCAGCTTTGCAATGAAATTATAAAAGTTCATAAATTAATAACAGAAATTGAGTAATTAATAATTTTTCACTGCCGGAGCCCTACTATCCTTTTCTATCCCCTCTCTGTCCTTGTCTGCCACGTGACGAGCTCTTCGACGACCTCCTCGCCTATTCTATGTTCCTATCACTTTCTTGAATTTTGAGCCCAAATCATAGATGGCGCTGATCGCAGGCGGTAAAAATGTTTAATTCTAAAAGAATTTAAGATCTTAATAAATCAATTCGGCAGTAGAAAATTAATAAATTTTCAAGGTTCTGTAATTAATTCATGAACATTTATAGCTGCACGGCTAAGTTGGAATTATAGGCAACATTCTTATGCAGTGTTTAATTTACTAATTAATATTTACATGAGCGATACGTTTTGTATCTGCTGTATCTAATGATTATTTATATTTTCGTTTCCTTTCTGTAGTAAATAAGATTGCTATAGAAAACTGTTTTTCTTGCATAGCATTCTTATTATCTTGTAATAAATATATACTGGCATAAGAAAGCGAAAAAAATAAATTTTTTTATTAAGAAATTTTATTTACGATTGTTTATTTACAATGCTTTCGTAAGCGAAAAATGAGTATAAAATAAAAAATAGATTGAAAAAAAGCTGCCAAAACTGTAGATGGGATTTGTACCTCGGACCTGCAGCATAGGAATTCGCGAATGTCGCTGTTAGGACACAATTTGGACTGGAAAGCGTTAGAAATAAATGTATAATTCGGTGAATCATAAATATATCCAAAAGTATTGAATAGTTGCGACTATAATGATATATATATTCTTGAACTGCATGACGAAATGTACAAACTTGCAAAGTTTCAACTAAATCGATGATGGACTGGCATTCTCCTTGTGAGCTTCAGGCACCGTTCTTGGGATTGTTGCTGGAGTTGCCACATATTCACTAGTTGTTCCAACAGTTGCGTGAATGGCAGCTGAGATTGCAATTGAATTTGCAAATGATCCTGTGGTAGTAGCACGGGCTGGTACCGCAAGGCTAGCTGCACTCGTGATTTCTCTTGCAACGTTGGCTGTTGGAACGATTGTTCCTGCAATTGTCTTTCGTGGTTGCTGCTCCTCCGATAACTCGTGTTTCCGTACCTGCAACTGTCGCTGCGGCAGCTGCGATATCGCTGTTTTCTCCATCGGTATCTCTAGCGACTGTGGATCTGATCTTAACTCGTACTGACATGGGAACGATAGCTGCTTTTGCGATTTTTCTCGTGACTGTACTCGTGATCGCTGCTCTGGTTCTTCCGTTCAATGTTCCCCCGGTTGTTCTTGCAACTGTTTCCATAATTGCTCCACCAGTTCTTCCGTTGACTGTTGCTGCGATTCTTTTTGCGATTGATCTTGCAACTGATCCTGTAGTTTTTCCGCCAGTCGTTCTTGCGATTGATCTTGTAACAGCTGTAGCAGTAGTTTCTCCATTTTTTCTGTCGACGGTGTCTCTTGTTGCGATTCCAACTCCAATAATTGTTCCATTAGTCGTTGTTTCGACAAACGTTTCGACGTCTGTGATTGTAGCTGTGATTCTTGTTCCGATCGTTCTTCTAGGTGTACTTCGACCTGATACTTTGGCGATAGCTTCTTCTGCTTGTATTTTCCTGCTTCTTCCTGCATCGTTGGCAATGATTCTTCCTCCAGCCGTTTCTGTAATTGCTGTTGCTCTTGCGAGTGCTTCATCGGTCGCTGTGACTGTTGCGATCGAGACTGATACTCCGGTGGTGGCTGCTCGTACGATTGCTTCTCTGTTTCTTCCTGCGATTGCAGCCATTCTTCCACACGCGGCAACGTCTCCTCGAGCTTTTTCGCAAGCTTTAGCATATTTCCTACGAATCGTTTTATCGATCATTGGCGAAGTTCTGGCTGCTCCTTCGATTCTTTTCGTGATCGCGTTTGTGTCTGTATCTCTGTTCGTACCGGTGTTCGTGGCTGCAGAAGTTGAGTGGTAGTGGTGGTGGTGGTGGTGGTGATGGTGGTAGCAGTCCAAATATTATTTTCGCGGTGTCTTCATCGGTATCCGAATATCAGGAATCGTGACCTACGCAATAGAAACGATATTGGCTACTAATGGATCGACAGCGATCTTTTTACGCAAGTCGATTTTTAGTTACCCGAAAGATCAAACAGATGAAATATCCCAAATACGGGTTTAATCGCAGCGCAAACGATAATTACGCGAACAATTGTCCACATTTCTGATCTTGTAAAGACGGTAGTTTAGATTTGGGAAGAAATTTATAGAAAAACGGAGGAATACTTGCCGGTTGCCGGTAAACCTGTGGATCGCTCCGTGTATGAAGTCGAGCGAATCGTCACGGAATATATGTAGGTCTACCGAAGATGAAATTAAAAACTCGAGATAGCGGAGATTGGCCGGTGAGCAGTAGAATTTACGTGCGATCGTAGGTTCGATACGAAATCGGGGAACAACCGTGGAAACGTAGCGAACAAAGGAAGGACAACCGTGAAAGACACGGAAGAAAATGATATTTCTTTTTTACTACTTATTGTTTGTATTATCGATCGTATCGGTGATTTTACAAGGCAGCTTTTACAAGGTTCGAGCGATAGAAAACGAACGTTTCGAAGCGATATTGGTCGGCGAGAGCCGGACGCGTGCAGAAAACCGGCGACTCGTCCGACCCGTGGTTTCTTCGATCCAGTTGCCCCATGATCGCGCACGACGGTTCGAATTCTTCTCCCTCGAATAGTCCGGTGTTTAGCTTACGATGCTTCCTCTAACGCCATTACATCCGTTACATCCGTTCTGCGATTTACTCGCTCTCTTTTCGGCAATCCAACATCTTTCGCGCTTCCATCTGTAAAAGCAAACGCGACATCCTTACTATCGGCGCTCGCTCCACTCGCCACTTTTCCTTGCATCCATTGGAAGGTAAGGCATTCCAACGATACCTGTATCAAATGATAGACGTTCAACAGCTGTTCCAGCGAGGGTCTAGCCTGCGAAGCACATTCGGTTCGAACGGCGCCCCATTCGACGACGCCTACCCTTTGACTTCGCTTACCCCAACCGGTGGAAAAGTTTAGCTGAGCTTCGGTTCCAGAGTGCAGGGTCAAGCATAGTAGCAATACGACGGAGAGAACGAGAAAGCCGAGTCGAAAGTTACGATGCCTACGAAAGAAGGGCGGATAAATGGTAAAGAAGTGCGTGGTATCGCGCGGTGGATCACTTACATGTCGTGGTCAGGTGGAATCGCGAGTAGACCGAGCGTCAAAGTCCTGATCCTCGAGATCGTGTGTCCGCGTCTGCGAGAGGGTAGGAAGGCCGAGGTTCTTTTTATAGGTTCTCCACACCTCTAACTCGGTTCTCGTGGTTGGAGAATCCGTGATGCGAGGCGCGAATCAGCTTCATCGTGGATCGCGCGCGTACGATGGAAATGAAGGAACGCGACACGAACGTGTCGCAATCGAGAACGATCCAAGGGTTTCATTCTCGTTCGAAGAACGTCGATGGGAAGCCTGTCGCGAGTTCCGAATTAATTAACAGTCGTTTCTCCTTTCTTCCGTGGGATGCGAGCCGAAGCACGGAGGAGGTCCAGTGATCTACGGATTCGAGGGAAATTTCCGATTTAACGCAAACCACATTATCTTCCAATGTCATTGTCTTTTATTATTGCTACAAAAAAAGAGAAGAACACGAAGTTACACGTATCTCCGACGACAATAGATGGATCTCGCGGATAAAGAAGAAAGGTGTGCTGCGTGATGCCGTCTTGTGATCAACTATCACGCGTCGAATAGGTCGCGCGTACCGTTTTGGTTTCGCGTGTCCTGTCTATAATTTACAAGAAGCCTGTATACGTGGCGCGTGTACCTTGACCTAAAGCTTTCGTTTCTCCGCGATCGTCGATCCTTTCCCCGGCACGACTCGGTCACCGGTGCCTTTTCGCCGATTTCGCCGATCTCGCCGATCTAACTCCACCGGCCTCCTTCCTCTTTCTCCATCTTCTTTAATTGTACATAAGGGCAGTGTTCGTGTATGTCGCATCGCGAAGAAATTTGCTCGTGGCGTGGCCGTGATACGCGACGAGTAGATTTCGCGTGCCGAAATCGAACCGAAGTCGCCGAATGCTGTCCACTGGATTGTGTCGCGATCGAGTACGCGTTTCTTGCTCATCGCTCGCCGACGGAGACGTTCTTTGTACTGCGATGGAGTGTATCGTTAAAAACACGCGTTCACCTGTCTCGCTGGATGCTACGACGGGTGGGATCGCGGCCATCATGCCGATAATCTTTCTCGATTCTCTTATAACTTTATAGCGCGGCAGAATCTTGCGAGTAGCTCGTAACCGTCACCTATCTTTACGCGTCCTCTGAGATCACGCGCTTTCACCTAAGCTGCGCTCTTTTCTATCGTATAAATTACGCGTCAACTTCTTTGCGAACGCTTCGGGCTAACTCGGCGGATGTCCATCCGAGTCAGTCGCCATCCGTGGCTTTACGTATCTTTATTAACACGTTGTTGCTGTTGTTCTTGTTGTTCTTGTTGTTCTTGTTGTTCTTGTTGTTACAATTATCAATTATTATTATACATATACATATCGCCGTTGATTTATCGTACAAAAAGCTTACAAATTATTATCACATATATACGTGTACGTACGTGCGCGAACGCCTACATAAGTACACGGATATACGTACATGCATATATATATATACACATATATCTACATATATATATGTACATATACATATACATATACATATACACACACACATAGAAATATTCGCAGACGCGTGCACGCATGCAAAGTTAATTTCGCGAATGGAACGAAATGGATATGGAAAGACGCGACATGCGAATACGCGGTTTATCGTTGATCGGCGGAGAAAGAGAGGGCAAGGAGTCGCCTTGAATTCGTTGGCGTTCGCGGTGGCGTTACGGCCGTGTATTCGTCTACCGTTTCACTCGGTGAATCCATCTCCGATATCGAACGCGCGATATGGCACTCGGATCTCTTCTCGCCGATTCCCACTCTCCCTCGTGTCTCGTGCCTTTGCATCTCGGAATTATGCATCGTACGCGTACGCCATGCCAAGTCAATAATTATTACTTTGGCCTACACGCGCGCCCACACGCGCACGCACACGCACGCACGCACGCTACACTCATACTCTCTCACACACACACACGCACGCACGCACATTTGTGTACAGCATATATTCGATACCAATGTTTATATTTATACGTGTATTCGCATATGTGAAGATTTCGTACACGGTTTCTCATCGCATTCGCGCGCATAACCGGTTAATAAAATAGTCTATAAGTTAAATATAGCAGAGCGGTACCGCTCTCCCGCTGCCTTTGTTCCGTCTTTTTTCCATCCTATCTCTTTTTGCTCCAAGCCTATCGTTACCTTGCATCGTTCGTTCGTTCGTTCGTCTCGTTTCTTTCCTTTTCTTTCACCTTCTATATACTCGTCTTCCACGGTATTCGTATAGAACCTAAACATATAGTTATATGTATGTATACTCGTTCCCATAATGTACGTATAAAAAAATAAGTTTAGACCTCGTAACTCGAATGATTGCCAAAAAATGTACGAATCTTTCTGCGCTTTCGTGTCTGGAAAAAGAGATCCTTGCGATTTCTATGAAACGCGTTCGTCCCACGCTACGTGTCGTATCATTCGTTAACTAGTGGAATGCACTCGTAAAATAATACAATTGCGATGAACGAATAACGCGTGTCCATTATTGCGCATATACCTCGCGAAATCCTCCTTCGTCCTATACGTCCGTTCTTTCACCGTCATTAGTCGTTCCTTTCTTTCTTTTTCTCCGCTTTTTTTTTTATATTCTCATTGCCAACGGACAAAAATACTATCGTCATTGTTCTTTATCGTTCTAGTCTCTCGCCGCTGTGTCGTCTATTCCCGAGGATCGAGTGCGTCGACACTTACCACATTGCCAACTATCGATCGTGTCCCGAGTTGTTCGATATCCGTGTTCGAATTTTATTTCCTACACGCGTTGCGAGTCGAGAGTAAACTACTCCGATAAAAGAAAAAGATATATGTATAAAAAAGGAAGTAACAAACAAACAAAAAAAAAACAAAACAAAAGTAGCAGAAGAAGAAAAATACTTCGCTTGGATCGCGTTATCTCGAAACGATATGTGGCCATGGTGAGTGTGGCTTTCGTTATTATATGAACGAGTGTACGTGGGGTATGGTTTATGGCGAAGCGATTAGAATGCGTCGAAGGAGTGGCGCCTCTGGTGCGTATCGATGAGCGTGAGAGGGAAGTACGTTTCTGACTGTGAGGCTATGCGAGTAAAATCCTGTGTAATAATTAACTTTTATGCTACAAATATATTACTGTTCTAATACTTAAACTGTTGAGCGTTTATTGATGATAGTCGTTAATAAGTCCATATTTCCACCACAGCCATCGATATCGCGAATCAGTAGCACTCTATCCTCGTACCAGGGCGAGAGAACGCCGGGTGGTGTTAAGTACACGAGGCGACGAATAGCCGCGGCTTCGTCGCTGCTTCGTCAAAGAGAGCGGAAACTAACAGAGTCGGTTGCTGCGAACGATTCGAGTCGAAGCTCGAACAATCGCGGAAAGCTCAACACCAACTTTCGCTTTCGCGTTCACCGACGCCATCGCTTTCCTCGTCGCTGGGTTCCTCTCCGTACATGTCTGCTAGCTTTCGGAACCTTGGTCCAAAGTTGGACAAGTAATTGAATTTGAGATCTCCATCGTCGGTACCTGTGAGAGAAGAAACATTGCACAACGAAATCAAAACAAACTATATAATATATATGTATATATGTGTACATACACGAAGCCAAGGATGACAAGGAACCTTCGGAGTTGCCTTCACCCTCGTACGCATAGTGCCTAACATCGTCGAATGGATTCGTGTCTGGATCCTTATCGCAGCTCTCCTTCTTGCCGTCTAAGAAGCCGCAAATATCGGGTACTTCGTCTGGACCTTGGTATAAGGAAAAGGGAGGAGGGGGGGGGAAAAAAAAAAAGAAAGATAAAACAGAAGGAACGTGTGCTAATGCAATCGACTTTTCAACGAGAACTCGTTTGTGCTCTGTTCGTCTCTCACCTCTAGTTTGCAAGCCAATCGGAGCTATTTTAGAATCGATGGGCGGAGCGTCGTAAATCGTTCGAAGAACATTGAGGTCGTAGCCCGTGTCTACTTCGCCACCTCCTTCGTCTTCGTAATTGATAATATTTTCTCTTATGTCGTCCATGTCCTTGTAGAGATCATCCGTTTTTCGCCTGTGCACCACAACTGCTAGCAACAGTATCAATAAGATGGCGATACAAACCAAGATCGCAACAAGGAAGTTGGTATCGATCCCGAATGATACGGCCTTGGCCATTCCGTGATCACAGCCAGGATCGGCGTTTCTGGATAACGAGGGCATTCCCAAGTTGTACGTCTGAAACAACGACGACGGATGCGTGTAAGAGAACGAGCGAGGGAAACGGAAGAAAAAGTTTGTAAGGCGTTACATTTCCATTGAACGTCATGTTGCGTATGCATCCGACGAATCCTTTGCTGGTAGGTTTGTGATCCCATTTCAACTGCGAGGCTAATTGTGCGAGATTAGTCAAAGTTCCACCGATTTGCATCGGGCTGTTTACGTTTAGGAATTCGTTTGATCCTTGCGGCGCGGTAAGACTCATGCAGGCCGATATTCCACAATTGTCCACTTGCATCTCGATCGCCTGGAACGCACGTGGTAAATGAAATAATTGCAGAACGAGTTGGTAGAACGACGATAACGCAAGCAGACGAACGCGCTTACGTTTTTCGTAAAGAACACGTCTATCCTGTGGCTTTTGCCATCTGTAAGTTTGATCCGTCGTTGATCGAGTCGCACGGTACCAGTTCCGTAATCCATATAGAGGACAGCGTATCCTTGTTGAAGCTCCAAAGCCATAAAATCTTGAATTCTGATCTTCGAACTATAAGTCATTGGACCAAAATAGAACACCAAACCGTTGTCTACGTGAGGAGTTATCTCTAAACCTGAAGCAGAAACGGATACTCGTGACAACTCGTGTACAGGATGCGACAACAAACGGATGGTATAATCGGGGTGAGGAAAAATATGCACGCATAATAGGAGTGTAGCGAAGCAGAATCGAAGATAATGTAAGAAAGGAAGGAAGGGGGGAAGAAGCAAGACGAAGGAGAGAATAAGATAAAAGAGAAGGAAGATAAGTATACCTAAATGTGAATCGTCGCAAGCTTGTCCGGGTGGTGGCATCACCGCCCAACCATCGCCGTGAAAACCGATACCGAGAAGCTCGCACCTTGGTCCCTCGAGACCGGGAGGACACTCGCATCGCTCGGCTAACGGTGTACCGCCGTTGAGGCATTCTATCGGTTCAGCCACGTGGCAGGTACACTGTGGATCTACGACCGCTCGCACCCCGACGAAAGAGCTCGCGTTCGTGTAGACCGGATACGGAACCGTGCTAACATTTAGATAACTGCGGCAGGTATTATTACAGTGCTGTTTCTCGAATAGACACTCGTCGATGTTTACCAGCAGAATGTCAGTCTTTAGCTCTCGTTCCATCTCTTTGGAATGTTGCGCCAATATCGTGTTCAATTTCTCGGGAGCATAATAAGGACTACCGTGCGCCGAAAATCGTACGTCTAGCAGACTCATGTTATTATGGTGCGGCGAGTGAAGCACCGTAAATACGTCCACGTTTTCCACCGAGGTATTCAACATGTTGGCGATTCTTTCCTGAAATATTTCCTTCTTGCTGACACCGGTTTCGTCGGGAGCTACAAAGTCTTTGGCTGTCATTCCGTAAAAGCGCACGGAACCCGATCTAGCCACTGCTTCCTCGGGCAGTTCCTTCACGGTAACATTCACGTACGCGTTCACATGATGCCGTTGGATAAGCGTACTGTTTTCGCTGACTATAAACTTGAGGACAAACGTGTCGTTGGAGATACCGGGAAGCAGCGTGATCATACCGTTCTCTTGATTCAGCTGAAACCCTTCGTGCGTGGAGGCCCAGGCGAAATGTTTGTCCGGCAAGTCCCAATCGTCCGGATCGTTGACGTACACTCGGCCGATGTCGGTTTTCGGGGCTTCGCCCTTGTAATTATACACGAATATCGAGCTCGACCCTTCGGACATTGGATTGTCATTTTCGTCGCCGATGATTACGGTCAACGTGGACGTCCCCGTCATCGGCGGCTTGCCGCTATCCGTGATCGCGATCGGGATATCGTAACTCTTTCGTTCCTCTCGATCAAACTTGACACGAGCGAACAAATCGGCGTCTCGAATAGCAAACTTGTCCAAAATCTCTTGGTCCGCGGTATTCTCGTCGATTTGAAATTTAAAAGGTGGTCCGTTTTCCTCCGAGTCCCAATCTCGAGCCTTCAGTTCGGTAATTTTACCGGGTGGCTTGTTCTCGCCCCAGACCACCGGATACGGCATATCGAGGAAAGGTGCGTTGTCGTTTATATCTATCAGCGTGATGTTGACCATTACCAGTTCTCGCAATGCGGTCGGAGACCCGTCTTCGTCTCGGGCCATTACGATCACCTGAAGAAACAAGCAGAGAAAAGAGAAAAAAGAGACGATGGATATTGTTTAGCTGGCATTCTCGGAAGCAAGACGCGCGATTATGGAATAGAGGAAGGAAAGTTACCGTCCACATGGAGTATCCTAAGGGTGAATCTCGATCAAGCGGTTTTTTCAGGGTCATGCAACCAGTCTTGTCAATTCCGATCAAAGGTTGCTGATCCTCTTTCACGATAAAGTAGGCGATATGTTGATCGGCAT